GCCTCCTTCCCGCCCCTCTCCACCCCCTTCTCTCATCTACACACCACCCACCCCCACTCCTACCTACCTAAAGGGTCAAGAGCAAAGACACCGGGAGAAGATAAGTGCTAGTCCCATCTCCTCAGATCGAAGGAGGCCTTGGGCAGGGATTTGCACTGAGTGACAACCTTTCAGGAAGCAAGGAAGAGAAAGAGAAAGGAAAAAAAAACAAAAAACAAAACCAGAGACCGAGCCAGGACTCTCAGGGACCACGAAGCTCGACAGTTAATCGAGAGCACCGAGATTTTAAGTCAAAGAACCCAGTCCTAGGACACTCGCTCTGCCTGTCTACCATCGAAGGTATATGGAACTGTGGTCCTGAGCTCTCATGTCACTGGCAACGTCAAGCTAGGTGAGAGCCCGGCTCTCCCATTGGTATGCAGCGACCATTTCCCTTCAAGTCTCAAAAGTGGAAACACTTAAAAGGATTACAAGCGTGATTTGGTGGCCTTACTGAAAGTTGGTGGCCTGAGGAAGAAAAACTGCAAGGCTACGGCACGATGGATACAATTCAGCCTCCCAGAGAGTTTGCACCTCCCGCTGGGCAGCCCCTCGGAGCAAATCTCGGAGATCTAGAGCGCTCTGCATGGATAGGTACTCGCCGCCATCCTTTCCCACTTTGCCTAATTGAAACCAGTATTTCTCGCTAGTAGGATGTGCATTGTAGAGCATATAGAGTTTGGCAGCGATGTCTTCTGTAGGCTCACAGGTGCTAGAGGTTTGTTGCATTTTTGAACTGGATCATTTAGTTGTAAGGACAATGGTAGAAGGAATGGTACTGGAGACTAACATACCCTCGGACCCCTTTTCTGGGGGAGGAAATTGTAAGTAACTCCAACAAATAGGCCAAGTGTCAGAGCGAAGGGCCCCTCCCCTAGTGGGTCGCTCGCTCATGTTGTAAAAGAAGGAAAACGGCTTGAGGTTTTAATCATTTTCCATTTCTAAAAATACCCATTGTGCGTTTCGCCTGGAGACAGCAGATTAGAAAAAGATCTGTGGAAGGCTCAGACCTCTTCAGAAAATGAATGATGCAGCATTTTAATTATTTGTTCTAAGGGGTGATTGTTTTGCTTCCATGTTGGAATATTTAATCTTAGATATGGAGAGATTAGTGGGCTCGGAGATCCGGCAAAGGGGAGGGGGAGATAGGAAGGGGGCACTGTGGGGAAAAAGGGTTTCTTGTCCTCCCCGTGGACAAATGATGCCGGGCGCTCCCAGCAGGAAGCCGGCGAAACCGGGGCTTCAGGGCCCTTCATCCCCTAACTTTTGGAGCTCTTCCTATCACTTAGACACATTATACTGAGACAAAGGAAAAGAAAAGGGTGAAATAGCCTTTAGGACATGGACCAAATCAAGAACTTGAGGGGATGTAGTTAAGGGGAGAACAGAGGACGATTACAGTGATGGTCATTTACCGTCACCGGGAAGCTCGGGGAAGCCTCCCGGTTACCCATCGATTCCATCGCATCATGGGTTCTGATATGATCCGTGAAACAGTCACCACCTTTGCACGTTGGGTACCAAAGGTGGTGTGTGTGGTGGGGGAGGGGGTAGGCTGGCAGCTGGTGAAGGAGATGGGATTGCTCTGGTTCTGAGTTCAGGCTGTTGGTGATGGTCGGCTCAGTTGCGACCTGAGAAATAGGGTGGGTCTGGAATATTAAGGGTGTAGAGTGTTAGAGAATCTTGCCTTCCTGCTTACTAAGTCTGTGATCGCTGTTTCCAATCTTAGCTACTCTGGAGCGGTGGACACTTGTGCGGTCATTTTAAATGCAAAATATAATGCAAATCTTATATGACTGACTTTTAAGGAACGTTTATGTTGCATTAAGTGACATATATATTTAGAATGGTAAAGAATTGATGTTTTGTTTTGTTTTTTTCTTTAAAATTTGATTTTGTAAAAAGCGCTTTAAGGGAAAGCCATCTCTACTCGATAACTGAGTCCTTGGGCAGTTGAGGTTCAGTCCAGTTCTTTAGCAACCAGAAAGTCCCTCCCTTCCCCAGGAGTTGGTTACAGGATTGGTGCGGAGGGCCGGCGGGGGCCGGGGGCGGGGGGCGCAGGGCAATCGATGCCGTACAGTTCCCGCTAACTAGACACGTTTGCTGCACACTTGCCTCTCTCCAGTTTCCCTACTAAGCTGTCTTTCGTCCTAGTAGGTAAGACTGTAGAACCGTCAGTTCCACAGTCAGAACCTTCTTAGAGGGTTCATGTGAACTGTGATCTGGTGGCCCCTCTTCACTGCAACGTCTTCGCTCAATCACCCCCCACCCCCACTCACGACTCCCTATTTTCCTTTTTCCCCAAATATCACGGAGCAATATTTGGGCCAAAAAAGGGGGGGTGGGGAGGTGGGGAGTGTCGAGGAAAAAAAAATCTAAACCCTGAAATGCTGCCCCCTATCCCCACGAAGTCTTTCCCGGTAGAAGAAAGTGAAACGTGCCATTGTTACCAAGTGGTCTGCGTTGGCCTGTCTCTGTTTTTAAAAAGGTGGAAGCAAACACATGGCTGTTGAATCCAGGGGAAATCGAAGGCTTTGAGCTGCAGCACAACAAAAGGATTCCTGGTGCAAAGAGATCGAAGCAAAATGCAGGAGAAACTCGGTCCAAGTCGCTCAGGCTGCCTGAGCTCTTATTCGGGACACCTAAGCAGAATCAGCTAGATCCAGCTCTTCTCCTTCGGGGACCTGAATTTCCCTTTATCCCCGTCTTTGGAGAGGAGTGTCTGCGCTATGAAAAGGATAATTCCGAAAGATAATCTTACTTTACAACCTGTCTACACTAGGGAGAGGAGCTCTGAAAACCAGAGGAGCAGAACAGCCAGGAGATGATTTCCTTGAGAGTTAAAAAAGTAATAATAATAATAAAAAGAAAAAAATGCCGACACTCCTCCCCCCCTCCACCTTCCCCACCAGAGGAATGCTTCCCTTAGGTTGGCCTCTGCTTTCCTGTTTCTTATTTTGACAATTTGTTATCTGAACCCCTCCACTTCTTTCCTCATCCCTTAAACAGAAACACACACACACACACTCTGTATAGTCAGGGCTTCCTAGTGCTCGCTCCCGACCCCAAGCTAAGCGCGTTCCCTTCTTGGAGCTCATTTTCGTGACGTGGAAAGCAGGATCCAGGGTTACAGCACATATTTAAAAAAAAAAAAGCCAGCACAAGAGAAGTCCGAGATTCTGCACTGGGATTGAGACTGCCTTCCTCCCTGCCTCCCTCCCGCCCTTCCTCCCAGTGCCCAATAATGTGCTGCCGGTACCCAGAGAGAGCAACCACGGCGGCGGCAGCGGCGGCGGCAGCAGCAGCAGCAGCAGCGGCAGCGGAGCTGGAAGCCTGCTGCAGCCCCTTCTCCTCCCTTCTCTATTGAGTGTGCCAAGCGGCAGTTCTGCATCCTAAAGAAGCCCATTGAAAGGCCCATTGCATTCCCAGCACGTCTCAAGCTTGCTGCTTTTATTTTTTCTCTTCGTCTCCCCCACCCACCCCCTCTATCCCCCTTTGCTTCAGCTTCAGCAAAAGGAAGGAGGGAGAGGGAGAGAGAATCCTTAAACTCAAGCTTTTTTTTTTTTTTTTTTTCCTTCCAATGTTCAATTCTTAAAAAAAAAAATCTCCTGCAAAATAGGTAAGTCAAAGACATCTGGAGCCTTTCATACCTAAATCTCAGGGACCTCAGAAACAAGAAAAACATTTAAAAAATGGTGAAGAAAGAACTTAAGTAGATTTTAATATTTTATAAGGGAGACAGGGAAGACTAACTGATACTGCAATGTAGCTTCATCTGCCTTCTCTCTCTTTTTTCATTTAATTGTTTCTAAAAATTGAGTATTGCATGCCTGAGGCGGATTTCTCTTTGCTTTCTCATGGGTCTTCCTTTCTTTACAGCTGTGTACATTATATGCAAGTTGAATGTGAAGATTTATTCTTTTCATTCTCCCTATAAATTATATCATTGTGTTTTCAGAGGGTTGGCAAAATGTTTCCTTAATGTATGTATCTTATGTGTGGAGAGCAAACATATGCTAAAAATTCTGGTTTATTTTTATTGATTAAAAATAATCATTCAATTTTGATTGATATTTCAGTGACTCAAAGGGCAATCTAATAAAACTGCATTAATATAATTTATTTATGTACGCATTTTCATATACTGATGATATAAAGCAAGGAAAGAGAGCCATAGAGAAAGGCTCTGTATTATTAGAATAGTGCACAGTATTTGTTTCTTCTGATTGGAAAAGAATGATATCTTTCTTTGAAATGTAATTCGTGTGATAGATCATTTATCAGCAGGTAAGAATCAAGGCTTCCACCCTTTTCTTGCCTTTCACTACCCAACTGTCTTCTAACCAGCCACCTGCCATTCCAGCTTTTTACAGGGTTCCTCAGTTGATCTTGAAGGCACAGACACACATTCCAAACTAAGCTCTGCAAGTGTTTTAATACAGACACTCCCAGGCTCAGCATCCTTTAGCTATCATTATCTTTAACTCTGACAACCGCATGGGCTCCTTCTTTAGAAAGGCTAATCACTCCTAAAGGGTTTAAATAGCCAAATGATACACCTATGTAGAAATTATTTAATTGAAGGGGATGTTAAAAATCTGTGCTTGGGAAAAAGAGGGTGGGGGTATACTACGATACTGAGCATACACTATAATTAAGTACATTGTGATCATCTCTTAAGCAAAATCTTAAGTTTTCCTGAGATATCAAGCATCTTGTACATCTCAACCTCTGATATTGAGCAATGGGCTCATACTTTATCACACTCTAATCTATTAACTTTGTGGTATGCTATATCTTTTTATGAGTAGAAACCTATAGTTTAAAGAATCTTTATTTTCTATCAGAATCCCAATCTGATCTGTAATGGGAACTTCTGATATCAATGTGAGTTTTAGTAGGCAAACAGGTGTAATGGCCAAATTACTGCCATTATTACTGAATCTGCCTATATCTAAAAGGCATCACTGTATACCAGTCATTTGATTGCTGTAAGATGCAATGAAGGCTGCTTGTGTTAGTATGATGTGCCCTTTACCAAGTATGGCTTGGTTTAGGAAAATGTCATTGCATGGCACAATATTTCAAAGTCACCCAAGTTTAAATACAAGTCATTTAAGCATGTTGACAGATCATTTTGAGTGTCAGTTCAACAACTGCTAAAGTTTGTATCACTCTTAAAAAGCTCCAAATGTAGGAGTCACTTAGAATAGTGCATATGAGTAAAGGCTAAAAATCTGCATCTTTATTTCTGTTGCAGTTTTGTAATCAACTACGGACGATGAAACCTTCCATAGCTGAGATGCTTCACAGAGGAAGGATGTTGTGGATAATTCTTCTAAGCACAATTGCTCTAGGATGGACTACCCCAATTCCCCTGATAGAGGACTCAGAGGAAATAGATGAGCCCTGTTTTGATCCATGCTACTGTGAAGTTAAAGAAAGCCTCTTTCATATACATTGTGACAGTAAAGGATTTACAAATATTAGTCAGATTACTGAGTTCTGGTCAAGACCTTTTAAACTGTATCTGCAAAGGAATTCAATGAGGAAATTGTACACCAACAGTTTTCTTCATTTGAACAACGCTGTGTCCATTAACCTTGGGAACAATGCATTGCAGGACATTCAATCAGGAGCTTTCAATGGTCTTAAGATTTTAAAGAGGTTATATCTACATGAAAACAAACTAGATATCTTCAGAAATGACACCTTCCTTGGCTTGGAGAGTCTGGAATACCTGCAGGCAGATTACAATGTCATTAAACGTATTGAGAGTGGGACATTTCGGAACCTAAGTAAATTGAGGGTTCTGATTTTAAATGATAATCTCATCCCCATGCTTCCAACCAATTTATTTAAGGCTGTCTCCTTAACCCATCTGGACCTACGTGGAAACAGGTTAAAGGTTCTTTTTTACCGGGGAATGCTAGACCACATTGGCAGAAGCCTGATGGAGCTCCAGCTGGAAGAAAATCCTTGGAACTGTACATGTGAGATAGTGCAACTGAAGAGTTGGCTGGAACGCATTCCTTACACCGCCCTGGTGGGAGACATCACCTGTGAGACCCCTTTCCACTTCCATGGAAAGGACCTGCGAGAAATCAGGAAGACAGAACTCTGTCCCCTGTTGTCTGACTCTGAGGTGGAGGCTAGTTTGGGGATTCCCCACTTGTCATCAAGCAAGGAGAATGCATGGCCAACTAAGCCTTCCTCAATGTTGTCTTCTGTCCATTTTACTGCTTCTTCTGTTGAATATAAGTCCTCAAATAAACAGCCCAAGCCCACCAAACAGCCCCGAACACCAAGGCCACCCTCCACATCCCAAGCTTTATATCCTGGTCCAAACCAACCTCCGATTGCTCCCTACCAGACCAGACCACCCATTCCCATTATATGTCCCACTGGGTGTACCTGTAATTTGCACATCAACGACCTTGGTTTGACTGTCAACTGCAAAGAGCGAGGATTTAATAACATTTCTGAACTTCTTCCAAGGCCACTGAATGCCAAGAAACTTTACCTGAGTAGCAATCTGATTCAGAAAATATACCGTTCTGATTTTTGGAATTTCTCCTCCCTGGATCTCTTGCATCTGGGAAACAATCGTATTTCTTATGTCCAGGATGGAGCTTTCATCAACCTGCCCAACCTAAAGAGCCTCTTTCTCAATGGCAACGATATCGAGAAGCTGACACCAGGCATGTTCCGAGGCCTACAGAGTTTGCACTACTTGTACTTTGAGTTCAATGTCATCCGAGAAATCCAGCCTGCAGCCTTCAGCCTCATGCCCAACTTGAAGCTGCTATTCCTCAACAATAATTTGCTGAGGACCCTACCAACAGACGCCTTTGCAGGCACATCCCTGGCCCGGCTCAACCTGAGAAAGAACTACTTCCTCTACCTTCCTGTGGCTGGTGTCCTAGAACACTTAAATGCCATTGTCCAGATAGACCTCAATGAGAATCCTTGGGACTGTACCTGTGACCTGGTCCCCTTCAAACAGTGGATTGAAACCATCAGCTCAGTCAGTGTGGTGGGTGATGTGCTTTGCAGGAGCCCTGAGAACCTCACCCACCGTGATGTGCGCACGATTGAGCTGGAAGTTCTCTGCCCAGAGATGCTGCACATCCCACCAGCTGGAGCATCCCCAGCCCAGCCTGGAGATTCTCACCTTGCTGGGGGGCCAACAAGTGCATCACCTTATGAGTTCTCGCCCCCTGGAGGCCCCGTGCCACTTTCTGTGTTGATTCTCAGCCTGCTGGTTCTTTTTTTTTCTGCAGTCTTTGTTTCTGCAGGCCTCTTTGCCTATGTGCTCCGACGGCGCCGGAAGAAGCTGCCCTTTAGAAGCAAGAGGCAAGAAGGTGTGGACCTTACTGGCATCCAGATGCAGTGCCACCGGCTTTTTGAGGATGGTGGCGGTGGTGGAGGTGGAAGTGGAGGTGGGGGCAGACCAACTCTTTCCTCCCCAGAGAAGGCTCCTCCTGTGGGCCACGTGTATGAGTACATCCCCCACCCAGTTACCCAGATGTGCAACAACCCCATCTATAAGCCTCGTGAGGAGGAGGAGGTGGCTGTTTCATCGGTCCAGGAGGCAGGGAGCACAGAACGAGGGGGTCCTGGGACACAACAACCAGGAATAGGTGAGGTTCTCCTAGGAAGTGAGCAGTTTGCTGAGACACCCAAGGAGAACCACAGCAACTACCGGACCTTGCTGGAAAAAGAAAAAGAGTGGGCCCTGGCAGTGTCCAGCTCCCAGCTCAACACCATAGTGACGGTGAATCACCATCACCCTCACCCTCACCACCCAGCAGTTGGTGGGGTTTCAGGGGTAGTTGCGGGAACTGGGGGAGACCTGGCTGGGTTCCGCCACCATGAGAAGAACGGTGGGGTGGTGCTGTTTCCTCCTGGGGGAGACTGTGGTGGTGGCAATATGCTACTAGACCGAGAGAGGCCACAGCCAGCTCCCTGCACAGTGGGATTCGTGGATTGTCTCTATGGCACTGTGCCCAAATTAAAGGAACTGCACGTCCACCCTCCTGGCATGCAATACCCAGACTTACAGCAGGAGGCCAGGCTCAAAGAAACCCTTCTCTTCTCGGCTGGACAGGGCTTCACAGACCACCAAACCCAAAAACGTGATTACCTCGAGTTAAGGGCCAAACTTCAAACCAAGCCGGATTACCTCGAAGTCCTGGAGAAGACAACATATAGGTTCTAACCGTAAAAGAAAAATAAATTAGTGCTTTTTTTTTTTTTCCCAAAAGAAAAGGAAAATAAAAGAAATATATCCCTTGCTCCCTTTACACTTGTCCCAATAACTCCATTCTCACAAACTTCCCTGCCCTGAACAGAACTGAAATCGCATGATAACTAGAAAATACAGATGTATGCTCTCCCCTCTCAGATGTGATTTGGAGGAAGGGCCATACTCAGATCATTAATCAATGAAGTGCCTTCGCAGACTTCTGCCAGCAAATGTTATCATTATTTTTTATACTGAAACTTGAGACTTTGACTGTGCCATGTATAAGGTATATTGGGGATCGTTGTATTGATCCTAATTAAGTAAAATTCGATGTGTCTTTTTATTTTCAGTATTTTTTTTTTTTTAGTTGTAGTTTTGTTTGATGGGGTGGGAGGGAACAAATTGACATTTGTGACTTTCTTTCCTCCTCCCATCATGGCACAGATTCTGTACATGTATTAACAATGCAGTTTGCTGCATGCCTGGAAACTGCAAGACGGGGAGGGAGGGGGCGGGTCTTGCTCGAATGTTCTCACCCACTCTTTTTTCTGTCACACACATACCCCCATGCAAATCACAAATCCCTGCACACAGTTAGGTCCCTAAACCTGCAGCCTCTTCCTTCTGGTGCAGGCGCGCACACACACACACACACACACAAATGTACACATGTGTGCGTGCATGCGCACACAAACACACGCACCCCATTCCTTTTCAACCCAATCTAATTATTTTGGGTTTGATCTATTCCTCTACTCTTCATAGCTTCATCTTCCCTTCACTCCTAGTGTACAGCTCTCTCCTACCACCCTGGGAAAAGTCATATTCTAGGTTGGATCCTACTGAAGTGGAAGCCTGGTGGTTTAACAGCTGGAAGCATACCTAGGGATGAGCACCCTCTTTGTGACACTTCATCCTGATGCCAAGATTTTTTGGAGAACATCTGCACTTTCTTATACATATATATATATATATAATATTAAAAAATAAAAAAGCAACTGGGTATATATCACTAACAGCTTTGTAGGAAGCACTTTTAATGTTTTCTCTCTCACACACAAAGATTCAAAAGAAATGTGCATATATTTATTCTGTAATTTCAGTGATTATAAATTGTAAAGGTAATGTTTAATCATTGTATAGTGATTATGCGTCTGGTATAGCTTTCCTAATAAAAAGTTTTTGAAAAACATAATACATTATATATAGAGGATACCAAGCTTGAACCTTAAACTCCAGCTATGCCATGCCTTTCATGCTCCCATTTTTTTTTTTAAATCTTTTACTTGTTATACAGAAAGCTAGTTTATTAACAAGTTTGATGCACTGTGATATTGATAAATCTTATTACCTACCACCCCATCACATACCAGGATACAATTGGGACTTAAAAAATCTGATTTATATAGTTCACTTTTACTCTTGGATTATGAATTTCAAATTCAGAAACCCAATGATGCACCATTTTTCCTAGGCAGGTTGTGATTGGGAGAAAATAAAGTAAGGAGATTGCTAAGAAGTACAGGATTATATAGATGAGGTAATCAAGGAATCAAGGATCCATGCACCTTAAGATAGTAAATGACATAAAGAAAAAGGAAAGTGAAATTGCTCTTCTTTTTTTTAAAACATGCAGTAAAATCACACACACACACACACACACACACACACCGAACTCTAAGGCCCTGGAGCCAATTTGACTGTCAGAATCCTGTTAATCTGTACAAGTTGTCATTGTTATATTTAGCTACTAGCTTTTTTTCTAGCCATCTAACTGCAACTGGCCCCAGTCAGGCTTGAACTAAGACAGAAGACGCTGAATGAGTTTTTTTTTCTGTATGATATTAAAATAATGTTTAAAATTAATCTGACAATAATCCAAGTTATGATCCATTTACATGTGAGCGAAACCAAAGAAAATTGGATTTTTAAGGTGCCAGGATCTTGTTTGTGGAAGAAACTAAACTGATAGAAAGAAACCGGAGCTTTGAGGCAGGCACTTATCTCATTATGCCAGTAGAGGGCAGCAGAGCTCCAGAGATTCACAGACCCTGTAGCTGAACTGCGCAGTGAGGCCAGTGTTCTCAGGTTTCTTAAGCTGCCCTTAGTAGAAATTATCGTTATGTGTTGAATGTAATTCACCACAAGTCACCAATGCCTTACATTACTTTTTTTTCATAAAAAAAAGACGTGCAGCTTCTAAAGCTGTGTTACTGATATAAAAATTAAGGCATTGCATTTAAAAAAGCCCCATGAATGTCTAGAAGAACATATTTAGATATCTCTTGATTAATTATAAATGGGTATCAACATAAGTATGCATAAAATAAAAACACACATATATCAATACAAAAATGCAACTTTTCAGGGCCGCCTTGCATTTGGCACATTGTACCTAAATTTTCTGTCTTCCATTATTTGAGGTACATTGGAATTATTGCAGAAAAAGAAAAACATAATTCACTATTTCTCTACATACAATATTGAAATGTACTTTTCTTGTGCAAGAGGATCAGATCCACAATTAAATAGGTGTCATTCTTTTTTTTGTTTATTCTCTTCTTTTTACTTTCCCATAAGTTAGCTTTTTCATAGTTCTCTCACTTTCCTTATTCTTTATAATCATCCTTCCCTCCTTCACTTGAGGACTTTCTTCTTTTTTTTTTAAAGCACAGAAAGTCAGTGTTTTAAATACCTGTAAGTGTTTTAAAACCTGATCTATGGAGTCCCTCTAAACTAGTGATTTATCATGTCCCCATTCCTCCTTAATAAAATACTCTGGTGAATGGTAGAAAGCATGTGCATAATAGAAATTCAAAATGAAAAGCTAGATACTTTTGACAGTAATCATTTCCTTAATAACCATGAACACATTCATAACATGGCATATTATACAAATCAGGTTAAAGTACAATCCCTAATGATCCTGGTGCTTTTGACATTTGAAAAATGTGTGTCCATAAACCATATCAAATTACAATATAACTTGATAATTATGTTTATATTTATTAAATACAGAAAGACTGTCTTGTCTTAAATATAGGTAGTAATTTTACTCTTGAATGAGGAATAAATTTTATTTAGTGAAAATAAATTTATATGAGAATGGAATTTTGTATTCAAGGAGATAAATTTTTGCTTCCATGGAGTTTTCTACCCCTTTGGCTAGGCTACTTATTTTAGCTGTGCCTTAGAATTACTTAAGTTAGCTTTAATTTATAATACCAGATATGTTTTCAGAAAGTACCATGGATACTAATATAGGTTCTCTGATTAGGATTTGTTCCAGGTTTTTGTTGCAGTAAAAAATTATTTTTGAGAAAAATATTGCTAATTCACCTCACAGTTATGGTCAATTTGACTGAAGCAGACCCAGATCTGGCAGATATTTGCTATTATTCATTGCTACTTTACTATAAATTATAGTAATAGTATTTGAAAATAATAAAATGTATTGTAATGTCCCTTTAATTATAAGATGGTGAGTGGAAAATAGTTGAAAGTGAAATATTAGTTTGACACAGTAACAGTTTTAACATATTATTCATCATATACAGTATTATTTATGTGGATGCTTTTATGTTTTTATTTAAAAAGCTACATTACTTCCTCCAATTGCAAAATACTAAAAACAATATATATATGTAAGTATGAAAAAGTTCAGAGATCACAAGGAAAGTTTAATGACTGAGCTTAGAATTTTGTATTTTTTCCCCTCAACTAAGAATGTTAGTTTTAAACCCTTGATATCTGAGAAGAATATTTGTTTCTAGCACTATAAAAGTTGATAATGCAATTGCAGAACAATTTTCTTTAACTATTGCAACGTATTATTTTGATTCATTTAGTGTAAATCCATTGTTCACACAGTCCTATCCTTTTGCAGTTATGTTGTCTGAGCCAATTAATGTTGTAAAATGGCTATGACAAAGGCGACATTAATGAAATTCTTTACAAAATGTGAGACAGGACAATAACAAGTCAAGATAGAATGAAAGGAAATGACAATAAAAGAACACTCCATCTTAAATTAAGTGAGTTGAGCTAGTTTAATTTGAACTTAGACATTTATAACTTAGCTCAAAATCCTCAGCTAAAAATTCAGGGGAATAGATTATAAATAGCTATCACTAATTTCACCATATACGTGTCCGGTTTAGTATCTATAGGCCTTTTAAAAGTAATAGGAGCAATAACACATGTGTAATTGGGCAATCGTGTGTATATGTGTGTGTATAACTATTATATATGTATATACACTGTATATACATGTATATAGTTTATATATGCTGAATTATATTTACATGTAATTTATGCACTTTTTCTCACATGTATAACAATTTCAGTTTTATGCATTTATTTTCCTTGCTTCTGTCTAGCTAATGTCCAAGTGAAGATGGATGAAATTCTGAGTCTTCACTTTGGAAATATTCACATGTAAAAAGTAACACTGTAATTAATATTTCTGAATTTAAAAGTTCTTATATCTTTCAATTTGTTTCCTTTTATTATTTAAGTCATAGGGGATAAATCTCAAATTGTGATTTAAGTCCTCAACCGTAAAAAAACTGATCTCTTATAAATATGCAACACAAGTCACATGAAAAACAAGTGCTCCTTTTTCATTTTTCTATTTCTAGAATAAATTTTGTAGGTGAAAGTAATTTCAGTAGCTTTATTAATTTGACAAGACCTTTGTAATTTATCTAGGTATATAGAAAAAGTGAAATCTTAAAAGTAAATGTAAGAGAAGTAAAGGTCCTGTTTAAGACATTCATCATCTTATTTATTTCTTTTAAATATCATCCTTTATTTAAAGTGTATAAAAGTAGTAATAATAAAAATAGATAACCATTTCTAGTATACTTTTATGAAATCTAAATTAAAGGAGATGATTTCTCATGTCAGGAAAGCAGGTGTACACCAGGAGTTATCTGTTGTGAAGAGGGAATAGCTTGGGTAGAATCTTCAATTCTGATAATATTTGCTCCTGAATATAAATAATTTTTGAAAATATGGATCATTTCTTCTCTACTGCACCAATACAGATGATTTTTCATATAATTTTAAAATTCTAATAGAAAATAATACTTGTGGTGAACGTTAAAGATATATAACCAAGGAGGCATTATAATAAATTTATGGTTGACCCAACCTCTACAATATCTTTAAACATTAAAACACAGATGAACATTAGTAAAAAGGAGGCTTTCCTCATTACCACCCAGTGACAAAAAGGCCCAGTATACCTAATTAACTCTTTCTTTAGTATATTCAGTCCATCTACTTGTTTATTAGTACAGTGAATTGATAGTTCATACTGTATTAAATTGTATCAAAATCAAATAATTTTCATGAAAAAATATGATCACCAGTAAAAACAAACCTGAATAGTTCATTTTAATTCAACTGCAACAATTAGCAGGTTGTTCTCTTGATGACAGGTATCACATTACCAATATTGTATTACATGTGAATATAGGGCTTTTGTGCTATTGACACATTTCACTACTTCTAGGCTTACACGATGATGGAAGACCATATAATGACTCTTGGTAGCATTTAAAACAAGAGCATAACTTTCCTAACTTGGGGAAGGAAAAGTTAGCCCTGAAAGAAGATGCTGAAACAAAGATGTCATCTGATCGTGTGGAGGGACAGAAAGAAGTTCTCTTCTTCCTGGCCCTATTCCTTTCACTAATCCTGACAGCTCTGCTTCTACTTCTGTTTCTGACTCAGTACCAAGATATTCACGTGACTAAGGGCACATTTATTGAGCTCAAATTAGCTGCCAAGGCAAGATCAGGGATGGATGAGAGTCCTTGCACCCAATGACAAAATGTCCAATTCACTTATCTTTGTACCTAGGCTGAGAAAATAATTCAACATATATCTCTTCATTGTGAAATCATTTATAAGTCTGGTGAAAAAGTCAGAACCTATAACAGTAAAACTAGAACCACTTCTAGAAATCAAGAGAGAATCAGCAAAAACTTTAAAAATATGGAACCTATCTTTAAAATCGTAAAACCTTGACTTTCCTCCTTTTAAATGTATTCTGTCTTTGCCATGGCTTCCAAAATACCAGTTTAACTGAAATAAAGATACAAATGTATAATATTTATATTAAGACCACCTGCTGTTACTGGAACCCACACATTTTCAGTGGTTTTTCCTTATTTACAGTATAAACTT